GTGCCTGTGGCTCAGTGAGTAGGGCGCCAGCCCCATATACCGAGGATGGCAGGTTCAAACTCAGCCCCGGCCAAACTGCAACAAAAAAATAGCAGGGTGTTCTGGCGGGCGCCTGTAGTCCCAGCTACTCAGGAGGCTGAGGCAAGAGAATCACCTAGGCCCAGGAGTTGGAGGTTGCTGTGAGCTGTGATGCTACAGCACTCACCATGCCACTACCAAAAAAAAATGCTTTTCAATTCAGTTTCATTCAGTTTCTAAATTATGCTAGCCACATTTTAAGTGCTTGATATACATATGTGGCTGGTGGCTAGCAACCATCATACTGGACAACACAGATTTAAAAATCTGCAAAATGTTCTAGTAGATAAGTCATTACTTAGAAGCTATAACCACCAATTCCAAATCCAAAATGATTAATTCAGATAAAGAATACTCTTTCAGGCTCGGCACCTGTGGCTCAAGTGGCTAATGCACCAGCCAGATACACCTAAGGTGGCGGGTTCAAATCCAGCCCAGGCCCGCCAAACAACAATGACGGCTGCAACCAAAAAACAGCCAGGTGTTGTGGCAGGCGCCTGTGGTCCCAGCTACTTGGGAGGCTGAGGCAGGAGACTCGCTTGAGCCCAGGAGTTGGAAGCTGCTGTGAGTGCCAATGCCATAGCACTCTACCCAGGACAGCTTGAGGCTCTGTCTCAAAAAAAAAAAAGAATACTCCTTCAGGTACAAATGAACAGTAGTGCATGCCTTTTGGCCCAAAGGAAGAGGGTATGAGACCAAACATGTAGAGAATAGAATATTGGTTATGGCCTAAGTGACAGTTTTGGATCTATCTTCTCTGGGTCTTGATTTCTTCATCTATAAAAGAGGGTATTTGACTAGATGCTATGCTTTCTAATTTTTAACTTTCTGGTCTCATTGTTACTATTTAAAAAATAAGAAAAGACTATTAACTATTAAATAACTTTCATGGTAAGTCAAGGTTAAAACTAAAATTCAGCTTGGTTAAACTCTAATTGTATTTAACACTGGCTGCACACCAGAATCACATGGAGACTTAAAAATATACCAAAACCTGTCCTCGGCCCCACCCCAATGAATTTGAGTCTTTGGAGTGGTGCTTAGGTATCTAGTTTTTTAAAGCTTCCCTCAAAAATTCTGCCACACAATGAATTTACAGACTGCTATGAACATAGTGACTGTATAGTTTAGGCAAGAAAAAAAAAAAATAATGAAAAACACTTCCCTCTTTCCTTAGTGCCAGGCAATCAAAGCTATCTCTTACAGACAGCAAATGACAAGGGGCAGGTTAAATATTTCACAAATATAAATCTTTTGCATTTGATTTTTAGAAGCTAGGAGAGTATCTTTTTATTTTTGATACAGTCTCATTATGTCACCCTCAGTGGAATACTGTGGTGGCATAGCTCAAAGCAAACTCTAACTCTTGGGCTTAAGTGATTCTCTTGCCTCAGCCTCCCAAGTAGCTGGGACTACAGGTGCCTGCCACAATGCCTGGCTATATTTTTTTGCTGCAGTTGTCACTGTTGTTTAAACCCACCAGCCTCAATGTATGTGGTCAGTGCTGTAACCACTGTGCTATGGGCACCAAGCCTCTTTTATTTTTATTTTGAGACAGAGTCTCATTCTGTCACCCTGGGTAGAGTACCGTGGCATCATAGCTCACAGCAACCTCAAACTCTGGGGCTTGAGTCATTCGGAGAAAATCTTTTCTTAAAAAACTCTAACAGAAAACAATGCATTATTAAAATCAAAATTTTGAGATGAATTCTTGTGTATTAAGAAATGAATCCCCCCTGGCTCGGCACCTGTGGCTCAAGCGGCTAAGGCGCCAGCCACATACACCTAAGGTGGCGAGTTTGAATCCCCAGCCCAGGCCCACCAAACAACAATGATGGCTGCAACCAAAAAAATGGCCAGGCGCTGTGGCGGGCGCCTGTAGTCCCAGCTACTTGGGAGGCTGAGGCAGGAGACTCGCTTGAGCCCAGGAGTTGGAGGTTGCTGTGAGCGCGATGCCATGGCACTCTACCCAGGGGGACAGCTTGAGGCTCCATCTCAAAAAAAAAAAAAGAAAGAAAGAGAAAGAAAGAAATCCCCTATTAAAAGTCTGAAATGCTGGGTTGTTGATCTAAAGTTCATAGAAGAAAAAGAGGTAGGCATAAAAGGAAGATTTCCTACAGCTTGAAAGTTAGCATTCTGAAAGGGTAATGCCATCAAGGTGTCTGTGACATAGTACCATAAGGACACAAGGCCCACATTGCTTCGAAAACTTTCTATTCTAGCCTTCCAAGGAGATCTATGCTTTATTACCTGTCGCAGAATTTAAAATAATAATAATAAAATAATAATAATAATAATAACCATTAATGATTCATAGGTAGACAATAAAGGGGATGGGTGAAGTGGGAAATTGTTTCCCAAAGGCCATTATTAAAAATGAAGCTGACATTTACTGGTAGGCTTTATTCAGCCTCAGTAATTTTCAAATATTATTTCACTAAATTCTCACAACAATCTTGTGAGGTACATACTATTATTAGCATGTCATTGTTAAGAAACTGAGACATAGCTGTTAGAAAACTTGCTTAGCTACATGCAAGTTTTATACAGCTCACAGCTATAATCCTAGCACTCTGGGAAGGTGAGACGGGAGGACCACTTAAGGCTAGGAGTCCAAGACCAGCCTGTGCAAGAGTGAGACCCTATATTTACAAAAAAAGAAACAATTAGCTAGGTATGGTAGTGCATAGCTGTAGTTCTAGCTACTCAGGAGGTTGGGGTAAGAGTATCACTTAAGGCCAAGAGTTCAAAGTTACACTGAGCTATGATGAGACCACTGCACTCCAGCCTGGGCAATAGAGTGAGGTCCTGTCTGACTGGGGGAGGAGAAAGGGGAAAGGGGAAAGGAAAAAGGAAAGGAAAGGAAAAAAGGAAAAAGGAAAAGGAGGAGGGAAAGGGGCAAGAAAGGGAGAAAGGGAAGCAAGGGGGGTGGAGGGGAGGGAAAAAGAAAGAAAACTTGCTCAAAGTTACACACCTGGAAGTAAAAGAACTAACATCTAAATCCAAGAAGTCTGATGCCAGAGAATGTGCTCTTAACCAATATGCTATGTTGTCTTTCTCTGCCACTTTGTGCATCTGTGGAGATGTGAATGTCTGTGACTGACTAAATGACAGGTGGAGATACAGATACCACAAGAGGAAGGGAAGGAGGAACAGAGAATAGCATCAGGATAGCATTTATTCCAAAGGAAAAATCAAAGATGGGGCTTGATGCCTACTGAGACTGAATAAAACCTACCAACAGCGCCAGCCACATACACCGAGGGTGGTAGGTTCGAACCCAGCCCAGGCCAGCTAAACAACTGCAACAAAAAAGTCGCTAGGCATTGTGGCAGGTGCCTGTTGTCCAGCTACTTGGGAGGCTGAGGCAAGAGAATCACTTAAGCCCAAGAGTTTAAGGTTGCTGTGAGCTGTGATGTCATAGTACTTTACTGAGGGTGACATAATAAGACTCTGCAAAAAAAAAAAAAAAAAATCAAAGATGGGGCTCTGGGATATGTACCTGAAAAAAGGAAGAATCATGACGTTTCCCTAATTTTCTGAAGTTGGACTATAATACATATACCAAATTTCTAAGAAACTGTTGACCATCTCCTTAAATTGACCTCATTTTCATAGACCAGACATGAAACATATGTACATATGAGTACAGCAGGCCTAGTTGCTTATGCTGACCACTACCATATGTTGACCAGTTGGTTACAGTCCCTTAGGTGGTCAACTTACAGAGATTCTATTGTATAAGGTGAATGAAACCAAGGATAAGGAAGAAACACTAATTATTAAACTAACTTAGAATCCAGGTGTAGGGCGTAATAAAATGAGCTAAGTATAGGGAGAATGAATTCTATATCAATCCAGTACTATTCAGAGAGAAATAAACAGCTTTACCTGAGAGAGGTTTTTCAGTTCACAAGGAAAGTACATTCTCTCTAGAAGAAGACAGAATACATGGATAGAGAACACAAACATCACGGTCACTATAGGAGTATACCCCAAATGGTAAGCAAGTGAACTGACATTCCGGTTTCTAAATTCAACAAGTTTGTTTAGGTAAAGGGCTAAAACAGTTTTTAGATCTCCAAGTATGACAGAACAGAGGTAACTGTGGCATATCTAAAAGCCCAACCAAAACGATTCAAAAGCCAGTCAGCTGAACTCTATAAAAAATCCCCAAACTAATTCTAGACACATAATTTAGCAATCCTTCTCATTAAACATGTTCCCCAAGTGGAAGTGATGAGAGTTCTAACAAACCACATTTTGATGACATTATTATTTAACTATGAAACAAACACATGGCAGAAAGGAAAGGGACAAAAATAAAGGGGCTACAATAAACCATAATCTAGACAGTAAGTCTGGGAGTAAATTAAGGTTTGACTGCAATCAAGGATAAGGTTGCGCTAGAAAAAAAAGTACGTGACAGGGTGACCTTACCACGTCTTGCTTTTACTATTTGTTATTAAACAACAAACAGACAAGAGTCAGCAGGTATATATGCTTACTTTTTAAATACATAAAACAAACATAACGGCAAGATGCCCTTGATTTATAAATGGGTATCTTGTGCTCATTAAGTATTTATACAAGTAGACTAAACCTGTCATTGGGATCTGAAGCTTCTCATGATGAGTACGCATGGGTCTCAGAATGGCTGTGAGAAGATTAATTAAGGGACCTGCTGCAAAAGGATCACAGATGAAAGATTTAAAGTGTTTTAGCTTATGGGGAATTTTTCCAACTCATAAAAGTAAATTGAAGCCTCTTTCCTGGCAAGACAAGCTACTCAGCAAGAAGGAAGACCTTCAATGAATATCTGGACTACATAGCTGAGAGCCTTCCCTAAGTAAAGGTAGTACACATTCATGGATACTGGAATACAAACAAGAAACAAGAATCCAAAACTTTTTAAAGGATACGGTCTGTACCAGGAAACAATGTTCTTCCAGTCAACAGCTCGGCCATTATGCATCCCACTGACCAAATATCAACTGGCAAAATTAAAGAGAAATAAAAGTACATGAAATGTCACTATGATTTTACTTGGCCACAAATGGAACCATAACAAGCGGTGAAATTTTCAAATTAGTATGTAAAAGTCACCTGAGACTCAATAATCATACTCATTTTTATAGAAATAAATAAAAGCCTTTTACCCCCTCTAAAAGGCTATTATAGACAGGATAAGTAAAAACACACTTAAATTAAGAAAAATAAGCTGTTCATAAAGGGCAAAAGTTTCTTATTGGTATAATAATGGATTATCCCAAGTAGTATTGAAGAGTTGTGATTATAAACTCATTGTCTACAGATAGAAGTACTCAGGGAATATGTTGAAAATCTAATTGCTAAATCACAAAGTTTGAAAGCTGTGTATAAAAACTCTACTTCCCAGGGCGGCGCCTGTGGCTCAGTGGGTAGGGCGCTGGCCCCATATATCAAGGGTGGCAGGTTCAACCTGACCCCAGCCAAACTGCAACAAAAAATAGCTGGGCGTTGTGGTGGGCACCTATAGTCCCAGCTACTCGGGAGGCTGAAGCAAGAGAATCGCCTAAGCCCAGGAGTTGGAGGTTGCTGTGAGCTGTAACGCCACAGCACTCTACCAAGGAGGATAAAGTGAGACTCTGTCTCTAAAAAATAAATAAATAAATAAATTTAAAAAAAAAAATAAAGAAAAAAAAACAGCTCCACTTTCCCATCTAAGCAAGGGAAATATTTTCTATCTGTAGGCTCTAAAAGGATCACTAAGGGAGGAAAAGATATTTTGGAGAGGGAGCACTCCTATCATGTCTACTTTAAGAATCCCAAACACACTCAGCATGGTGTTGATAAGGCCCTAAATAGCCAATGCAAGCAATACCTGTCTGGTTGTAATGCATCCAGTTCAGCATGATCTCAGGGGCTCTGTACCACCTAGTGGCCACATAGCCTGTCATTTCATCATCTGTATGCCGAGCCAGTCCAAAGTCCAGGATCTAAGGGAGAGAAGAGAAATCAGGCACTGGAACAAACTGCTGAGACTTAGAAAGCAGGCAGGAAAAAAAAAAAAAAAGAAACAAACAAAACCATTGCCTTATAAAAAACAAGAATACAGCATTTCCAGAAAAGATTCCTGGTCCATGCTTAGAATATAAACAAAAAAGCACCCCTTAGGTAGGTAATCAAGAGCAATGAAAACTTATGTCCACACAAAGGTTTGCATTGTACATGAATATTCACAGTAGCTTTACATAGCCTCAAACCTAAACTGAAGCAAATGTCCATCAATAGGTGGATAGGTAAACAAATTCTGGTATGTTCATAAAAAGAAATACTACTACAAAGCAATAAAAAGGAAGAAACTATTGACATACAACACAAATGAAAAACATTATACTAAGCAAATGCCAGACACAAAAAAGTATGCATTGTACAATTCCATTTATGTGAAACTCCAGGAAAGACAAATCTAATCTATAGTGTCAGAAGACTGATAGCTGCCTATAACCAGAATTAGGGGTTAAGGGGTGGGTACTAACTAGATAAATGTGGTAGTTACAAACATGTACAAATCTGCCACAATGTACACTTAAAATGGGGCATTTTAATGTGTGTAAATTATGGTTTTTAAAAGTTGAGTAAAAAGAATTAAATGAAACAAAGAAGTTTCAGAGCTACTTGCTCTTTATAGACAATTAATTCATTTAAATTATTTTGAGTGAATGGGTTTCTCCCACTTTTGCTCTTAAGAATCTATGCTATTTGGTTATTATTGTTGTTGTCACTGTTCTTTAGCAGATCCAGGCCGGGTTCAAACCCACCAGCCCCGGTACATGTGGCCGGCACCCTAACCACTGAGCTAAGGGTGCCAAGCCAGACTATAATTTTTTATTGTGATTAATATATTAATTTTCTAATTTAATTCTATTTTTATTTTTTTTTTGTTTTTATTTTTTTTTTTGAGACAGAGCCTCAAGCTATCCCCCTGGGTAGAGTGCCATGGCATCATGCTCACAGCAACCTCCAACTCCTGGGCTCAAGCGAGTCTCCTGCCTCAGCCTCCCAAGTAGCTGGGACTACAGGCGCCTGCCACAACGCCTGGCCATTTTTTGGTTGCAGCCATCATTGTTGTTTGGCGGGCCCAGGCTGGGGATTCGAACCCGCCACCTTAGGTGTATGTGGCTGGCGCCTTAGCCGCTTGAGCCACAGGCGCCGAGCCTAATTCTATTTTTAAATGAAAATAAGAAATTGATATCACTCTCAGCTTACTCAGAAATGATTTAAATTTCAAAGTCTGACATTCCTAGGATAACATGAATTTTTGGACAAAAAGTTATGGCTCATAAACCTATTCCCTATAAAAGTTTGCCTGGTTAGTCAAACATACAATCTTGAGGGGAAGCAAAGAATCACTACTTGTCTCTTCATTTTACCTTCAGCTCACAGTCTTCATTCACAGCTAGATTACTAGGTTTTAGGTCCTAGGAAGCAAGTACAGAAAAGACAGGATCAACTTTACGATACACGACAAATTCTCTCCCTACAGGTAGTAAAGAGGTTCCAGACATAAAAGTAAGACTTCACCCAACTCACAACAGATAATCTGCATTCTATAGGCAGCATCTAGTCGAAATTAGCATTAAATAGGAACTATATATCTTCTTTCTTTAATTAGTCTAAATACAGAATAAAGTGGCAATCAATCAATATTGTAATGGCTAACGTAAGTCTAGATTAGGATCTTGGCTAAATGCCATTTGCCATTCTTCCACTCCCCCACTGCTGCAAAATAATTTAATCAAAGTCATGATACATACCCTGTGAATTATATCAGCTGAATGTATATACTACGAAAGAGAAAAAAAAATCTGTTAAATAAAAGTTGTCTCCAACTTCCCATTGTCATATTATGTATTTGTTTCACATTTTCAAGAATCATAAGAACTATTAGTGTTACAGTGGGATTAGAAATCAGAACAAGTAACTGTCAATATTCTATATATTTACCATATCTATATTTCCATAGCCATAGTCCTCTCATTTGAGATTTCAATCTATTTTCTTGTTGGCACTCTAGAGCTCAATAAGGACCCCAAATTGCTAAATATCAAAGATGGTTTAATTACAAGTCTTCCTTGAAGATTTTTTTAAAATCTCAACATTACACTAACCAGGTTTCAGACTGTATGAAGAAATTATTAGTTTTTAGATGTAATAATGAAGAGTCTTTATCTCTTAGATATGCATACTAAAGTATCTATGGGTAGTATGATATGATGACTGGGCTTGTTTTAAAATTATTCAGGGTTTGGGAAATATCTTTAACGAGGGAGGGAAAGGGAGAATTCATTTCTGAAAACATAACCAACGCTGTCTGTACCTTTAGACCTCGCAGAATTTGGTAGATAAGGAACTGAACATGGTCATCTGTAAGCTTCTGACATTTCACAATGTTGTTCAGATCTGCCCCCATGAGATGGGTCACCAGATACCTAGAAATGAAAAATTACATAATTGTCCAGAACCCCTTAAAAAACTCTTATCTTGATAAGATATTTAAAGTTTTTAAAGAAAAGGCCACCTAGTAATTACCACAATGATAGATAAAAGCTCAACTATTCATTTGTGGGGTAGGGAGCACTGCATTTTCAATATCACTATTATAACTTTACTACCTGCCATCTGTTCTAAAAATTTCTACACTAATTTCTACTTGATATCTTTTCCTAATTCTCTCAAGAAAAAAAAAGAAACAGAAAAAAGTAAAGATGGAGATATTAGTTCTTTCTTTTCTGTTTTATTTTTTTGTTTGTTTTGGGTTTTTTTTAGAGACAGAGTCTTACTTTATTGCCCTCGGTAGAGTGCTGTGGCGTCACAGCTCACAGCAACCTCCAGGTCTTGGGCTTAGGTGATTCTCTTGCCTCAGCCTCCTGAGTAGCTGGGACTACAGGTGCTCGCCACAATGCCTGGCTATTTTTTGTTGCAGTTTGGCTGAGGCTGAGTTCAAACCCACCACCCTCAATATATGGGGCCAGTGCCCTACTCACTGAGCCACAAGGGCCGCCTATTTTTTTTTTTTTTTTTTTTTTTGTAGAGACAGAGTCTCATTTTGTTGCCCTTGGTAGAGTGCCATGGTGTCACATAGCTCACAGCAACCTCAAACTCCTGGGCTTAAGCGATTCTCTTGCCTCAGCCTCCTGAGTAGCTGGGACTATAGGCGCCCACGACAACACCTGGCTATTTTTTGGTTGCAGTTTGGCAGAGGCTGGGTTTGATGCCACCCTCGGTATATGGCGCCAGCACCTTACTCACTGAGCCGCAGGCACTGCCCTTTTTTTTTTTTTTTTTTTTTTGAGAGAGAGTCTCACTCTTGCCCAGGCTAGACCTAGCTCACAGCAACCTCAAACTCCTGTGATCCTTCAAGCAACCTCAGACTTCAAGTGATCCTCCTGTCCCAGCTTCGTGAGTAGCTGGGATCATCGGTGCCTGTCACAACACCTGGTTAATTATTTCTATTTTTGGTAGAAACAGGGTCTTGCTCCTACTCAGGTTAGTCTCAAACTCCTCAAGTGATCCTCCTGTCTTGGCCTCTGAGAGTACTAGGATTACATGCATAAGCCACTTTACCCAGCCATTTAGTTTTCTCAAAAATGTTTTCTTTCAGCTTTTATTGAAGGCTATTTTTTTTATTAAGTCATTTGTACGCAGATCATAAATACATTTATGCCATTACGGGATTCAATGTGTTGATTATTTATACAAATTGGAGTGCTTACATCCTACTAATCAACATAGCTATTGAAGGCTATTTTTTAAAAACTGTTATTCTTGCATGAGAAATATACAGTATAACTTAGTACATGGCCACAATACATCATAAAGTATCTCACGTTTTTAAATCCACCATTGCATTTTCACTTCATTATAAACCTTCCACTTTATAGGTTCCAAAATAGGAGTATCTTTAGATTTTCAAACTATAATTATTCCTCTTTTTCAAGAATAACTGGCAAAAGGATATTGTTCACTGGCAGTATTCCTACATTTACCTTAAAGGAGAAAGGAATATTCTATCTCTAAGCAAGATGAGACATCTGAGAACTTCTCAAAGGGTGTGGTGCTGGCTATTAATCCCATCTTTATGTGCTAAGATTAGAGAACTATTACATTCAAGTCCAACAGGTTCAACACAGATGTTCTAGATATAGTATAGTGCCTTAAACCACTCAGTACTGTACACAGATACAGAAACATAAAAACTAGATCAGTTTTTTTTTTCGAGGGTAACAAAGAGAGATTTTATTTAGGAAGAACAGAAAGAAGGTTTGGAGCACTTCCAAAGAGAATTGGAAGTGGGTCCCTCTCATGGTGGAGAGAAGGTGAAAGAGATCTAGAACAGCGTTAAAGAGGTTAAGGTTGTTTAAATTTAGGGTAGGTTTTATCTACTAAGAATCATTCTCAGGCAGCACCTATGGCTCAGTGAGTAGGGCACCGGCCCCATATACCAAGGGTGGCAGGTTTGAACCCGGCCCTGGCCAAACTGCGAGAAAAAAAAAAAATAGCCAGGCACTGTGGCACACGCCTATAATCCCAGCTACTCGGGAGGCTGAGGCAAGAGAATTGCCCACGTCCAGGAGTTGGAGGTTGCTGTAAGCTGTGACTTCATGACACTACAGAGGGCGACAAAGTAAGACTCTGTCTCTGAAAAGAAAATAAAAAAAAATCATTCTCACTTTAAAAAAAATTTTTTTTATTAAGTCATAGCTGTGTACATTAATACTATCATGGGGTACAGCGGGTTGTTACTATATACAATTTGGAATACTTTCATCCAATTGGTTAACATAGCCTTCATGTTATTTTCTTATTTGTTTTGTTAAGACATTTATATTCCACATTTAGTAAGATTCACATGTACCCTTGTAGGATAAATCATAGGCGTGATCCCACCAATCACTCTCCCTCCACCCATCCTCCCCCATCCCCTCCCCTCCCTTTCACCTTTCCCCGTATTCTTGGACTAAAATTGGGTTATAGTTTTCCTACGATAGTTCATTCTCACTCTTGAGGTTGAGTAATAGTGTATATATCAGTTGAAGTGCAAAGAATGCTGATTTTATTTCATTTCTATTTTTTATAAATTTTGAGGGAAAGTAGGCTGGTACGTTTACATCTGTTTTTAAAATACAATCAATGGATATGGATAAATATGTGTGACCTGTCTTTACACACACACACAGAGCCAACACACGATATTTATTACTTTCTTTCCTCCGAGAGGAATTAAATTTTCTTCCTCTGTCATAATCTCCATGTAGGGCTGCTATGATCAGTTCTCAATTTCATAAAGATCAACAGGACTTAGCCTTGTCATAACCTTTAGGTAAGCCTTTAGTATTTCCTATTTTAAAAGATGCATGTTTATGTTGCCTTGCAGAAAGGAGTAGACTCTAAATGTAATTTAAATAGTAAATTGGACTTTCTGAAATGTTTTTGTAAAGGTAGTTTGTATCTAAAAGACGTTCCAACCTCAATACAACCAAAGGCAGGTAGCTCTCTCTCCGTGCCTTGCACTGCAGTAAGCAATTTAACGTGTTCATGCCTCATGTACTTTCCCAACAACTCTTTATAAGTCTGTCTGTCCATTAGCATACCATTTCATTGATGAGGAAACAGATCAAGGATAAGTAATCTGGTTCAAGTCAGAAGTAGTCAAAAGTTGAATCTAAAACTGTTCAACCTCAGAAACTATGATCTTTAACACAGCAATACTGACTCCAAACATTCTTTCAGTTGACAAGGAATTTACATCAAAAGACTGACTTAAAAAAAAAAAAGGTTTATAAACATCATAATAACCAGGGAAGCATTTTAGTATCAAAGTTAATCTTTAATTAAGAAAAAAATTTTGCTGCTAAAAGCACAATATCCTAATCATAGCCACTGTATTTTTAAACCCAAATTGGTACATAAGCCAAGGAAGAGAGAGAATCCAATTTCAGTCTCTTAAGATTGTTTTGTAAATAATTACATTTTATGACATCAGATAATAAAAGAGTTATTCTTTTAACTTTTCTAACTAATTTTAAGGAGAAGAGGTAAACATAATTTATTCTGAAGTAAAACCTGAAAGTTCTAAGTAATATGTCTGAGCTTTTCAGCAAGGTGTTAGGTACTATTACTACCAATAGCAATTTCAAGTATAACTATTGTATTTTATTGGTTACCGGTCACTTAAATCTTTCACAGCCAGAAGACAACTGATGGCACAGCCTAAGGGAAAGAGTATGCTTTTTTTCCCCTTTTTTGAGACAAAGTCTCACTTTGTCACCCTCAGTAGAGTGCTGTAGCATCGTAGCTCACAGCAACCTCCAACTCTTGAGCTTAAGTGATTCTCTTGCCTCAGCCTTCCAAGTAGCTGAGACTACAGGTGCCCACCACAATACCCAGCTATTTTTGTTGCAGGTGCCACTGCTGTTTTAGCTGGTTGGGGCCGGTTTTGACTTGAGTACATTTGGAAAGCTATCCTAGTTCTCCCACCTTTAAAAGGAATTAAGTAAATTGGCCTTTATTAGGGTAAAGACTGAAAAGATGATTTCTTGGTGTGATATAAGTCTTTTCACTTTTCTTGTGAAGGTGGTCTCCTTTAAACTGAACTAAAATATAAAGAGCATAAATCATATTTCTCAAAGTAACCCCTGTAAGTAAAATGTATTGTACTGATAAGAAGGCAGAACTCTGTAACACATGATTTTCAGTACTCTAGACAGAGCCCCCATTTTAGAGCTCATTTATTAAGTACCTTTTTTTTTTGAGACAGAGCCTCAAGCTGTCCCCCTGGGTAGCGTGCCATGACATCACAGCTCACAGCAACCTCACACTCCTGGGCTTAAGCGATTCTCTCTTGCCTCTACCTCCCAAGTAGCTGGGACCACAGGCACCCGCCACAACGCCCGGCTATTTTTTTGGTTGCAGCTGTCACTGCTGTTTGGTGGGCCTGGGCTGGATTCGAACCCACCACCTTAGGTGTATGTGGCTGGCGCCTTAGCCACTTGAGCCAGAGGCGCCAAGCCTATTAAGTACTTTGGATAACATTCAATTGTCAAGACACCCCCCCCCCATCTCCTGCTTCTTAAAGCATAAAACAATCAGAAAGAAAAAAATTTCTTCTGTATCTATAGATTATCATCTCTACTACTATCAGTCCTGTTCAAAACAATTACAAAAGGCAAAAGGTATTTCTCCCATATTTAAATGGAATATTTAAGGGCAGTGCCTGTGGCTCAACGGGTAGGTCACCAGCCCCAAATACCGAGGGTGGCGGGTTGGAACCTGGCTCCAGCCAAACTGCAACAAAAAATAGCTGGGTGTTGTGGCAGGCACCTGTAGTCCCAGCTACTGGGGAGGCTGAGGCAAGAGAATCGCCTAAGCCCAGGAATTGGAGGTTGCTGTGAGCTGTGATGCTACAGTTCTCTACCGAGGGCAACAAATA